GAATCCCGACACGGACGTGGTGTCGACACTTTATTAGGGTGTCGACACTAAACGGAAGAGCTGAGTTCAAATCTCCGACACGGACATGGTGTCGACACATAATGTAGGTGTCGACACCGAACAGAAGGGCTTTTTGACTAACTCTTTGCCTTTCAAACTAAGATGTTTACGGGTTTGGGGTACCCCTTGTACTCCATTTCAATAAATATTACTTTTGCTTTTCAAAAAAAAGTTAAGTCTTATTTTTGGATTAGAAATAAGGTGGTTGGGTGTGTTTTTTCGTTAGCTCAATGGCAGGGTCATCCGGTGAAATGTGCAAGGGAGCTGAAGTGATACAAGGGATCTTTAAAGTTGTTTAATCAGTAACAGCAGTGGCTTGTTTCAAGCATTTAAAAGAATTTCCTATGTAGTAGCAGTGCTTTCTTTATTGGGTAACATTGGTGTTTGTTTGTTTAGCGTCTTTTGGGTTGTTAACATTATTTGAACTGTAGTTGTCTTTTTTGAATTGAATTGCTAGTAGTGTAAGAGTATCACTTTATTTGCATATGAGCAAAAGTACCCATTTACTGTATTTAATAAAATATTTTTATTTTGATGATAAAAAAAAAAACATTTCTTGAATCTTTGTTAATGTAAAATAAAAATTAGATATTAAGATTTAGTTATTACTAATTTAATTTCTATGCAAGTTTCTCAATTGTAATTGATTTTTATTGTTTGATAAAAAAATGGTCACTATCACCAACCAAAGAAGCTTTAAGGAGATGAAGTTCCATCTCCGATTTGTTCACTTGAGGGGATGAAAGGCTTCATTTTGGCACGTCATCAGCCATCACCCATCGTGAGAGTGTGAAAGGCTAAACATAAAGGTAATTACAAATTTGGTGTGCCAAGGACAACAAATTATCATACAAACAAGCATCGGATATCTAACATATATATGCCTTCGTGAAATGCTTGAAAAGATAGTAGCGTGAATCCTTCTTTAATTTTTTGTTTTTAATAAAGCGAGTGGGCATGACTACATAATTTTTGTCTACCACGTAATGGCCAAAAGGAAAAAAACTTTGTAGACAACAATACCATTCTTATAGTTATAGCAAATTAATTTCTTGTGACAATTTATACGGCTGTGGTGGAAGATAGAAATGGGATCTTAATCTTATTACTGTTTTGACTTTAGAGATTTTTGGGTGTAATAATTCATCTAAGAAAGCTTTAGATTTGACATAACCAAATCATCCATCATCTCTTTTCCCAACTTTATGAAATTCCTCTGAAATTTGCCTCTGTCGGGTATAATATTTGGCCCGTTGTCTTCTCTGTCTTAACCTATAATCATCCCGTGAGGTGTCATGCGGGGTGATTAGAAGTTTAAACATTTACTTCTTTAGTTTTAGGGAGTCGGAGAAGGAAGAGATAATATCTTTTTATTTTCTCTGTCTTCCCCTTTTTTTTCTTTTTTTTTTCATTTGGTTATATTTAAATTATAAAAGAAATAAGAGAGAAGTTGTTCCCACACCTTACCTCATCTTTTTTATAAATTTTAAGGAAAAAATTTAAATTTATCATGAGTAAAGTGAAATAAGAGGGCTTCAAAAAAATATAGTAGTAAAAAATGAAGAGTGGCTATCTCTATTTGTCTACTAATAGTATATTTGATTTGATGAAAGCAAAGAGTAAGATTTTTTAATTAATTAAATTATAATATTTTTAAACATTACAATATAATTTTTTGAAAAATCCTCTCTTATCCTTATTCTTTTCAAATTAAATATATTATAAAAGAAAATGTTACCCTAATCTAATTAATTATTTTTATTTTCATTTTCAATTAGGGTTTTCTTTTGCCACATGGCTTGCTAAAATTTGGTCACTTGTCTAATGTAATAAC